GCTAAATGGATCAACCACCAGTGTTTTCAACACCTTAACAATGACAAAAAAAATTGACATTATCACTTAAAAAGATCAATAAAGCATCAGTTCGAACTCAGAATTTAGCACTATACAATCATCCTTAAAAAGTAATGTGTAGTAAGTTTAAAATTCAAATCCTATTTTCAACCAATGGCCCTTTTGTATGAAAAAATGCATCGGTCTAGTTGGGGCAGGAAAAGGAAAATTTTACAATACAATTCTGATGCTTGAATTTTAGTTGCAGATGAGAAATCCTAACTTCATTGCCTATTTCTGGAAAGTGCATACAAGGAAGAAATTCTGAATTCATTCCTTCTCCAAACAGAATTCTATTACTTACTGCAAACGGTGTGAAAGCATTGAATTATGATGCCATTCTTTATTAAAATGAAAAGATTATTGTTTACAACAAGGTAACAAACAAACACCTAATGGAGAAAAAAATGCATTTCTAATTTGACAAAATTTTCTGAAATATTTTACAAGTCAACTGTTGTGATTGTATGTTAAATAGAATACAAATTAGAAGGAAAAATGCAGTGCTGGTAAGTAACATGAGCATTTTGAAGCCTTCCATCAACATAAGAAACATGCACTCCTTGATCGTGAGGTGTCCGGTTCTTCGAGACCTTTCAAGAATGACCTAATTGCAAGATGTTCCGAAGCATATGTGATGAAAGATGCTAATACAAGCCCTCCAACTACCATCAGACCCAGCCTGGTGTGAAATTGTCATGAACTGTGAAAGTTGGTAAGACTAATTCAAGAATATTAAAATTGATTTTCAAACGTTAGATTCAAGGTTTTAACTCCTGAAACTATGATGACAAGCATGTATAAAGAACTAAAGCCAGCAATCTCCAACAACTTATTGTCTTCCTTTTTCTTTTTCCTCCAAAGTCCAAACGGCATTGAAAATGTTGTCTTTTACAAAGACAGAAGAAAACAAGAATATTCTGATGGAAATTACCTCAAGAACAGAGCGTTGATCCCAAAAATACAAGGTGACGACGGAGCAGCAATAGCCAAACAAGCCATCCCCAAGCCATAATACCAAGTGAAAATATCACAAGATGATGCCTGCCATTGATGACCTGAAAAGAAGACACAAAAATTGTCAACCAATTATTAAATTCATATAAAAAGGGAATAACATCATACTTTATCATGACCACAGGCACAATTATTTATGTATTTGTTCCAAGTAAATAAACCTTTTCTAGAATCAGAATCAAAAGAATCCATATGAGAGGCAACTATCCCAATTGAGTTGCTGTTCTCCTTCCCCACTGATAAATCAAAAGAAGAGAAACTCCAAACAAAAGAAAGAAGATTGTAAACGTCCTCTCATACATCAAGATCAAACCAGTCCATGGCATCACTTGTCGAGGCACAATTGCAATAGCAATTCCAAGGGACACCAGTACGGCCATAAAACATACAAAAACTGAAATTCCACCCAGGTAGGCAGGCACCTTGGACTGTGCACCGTTAAGAAACTGGATAACATCACATCAAATAATGGAAGTAAAAAATTAATAAGTTTACATCATATTTCCATAGACAAAGAGGGTAAGAGGATTTTAAGAAATCAGAAAGAATTCAGCTTAAAGATGAAAAAGGAAACTAGCTTGACCATTTGCATTAATGGTAGAAGATGAAGAAACACCAGTGTAAACAACTGTTCCACTTGACCTAATTATGTAGTAAAGGTGTCTGATCTGATTGCATAATGAAGTTCTGCAAAGCGAACCCCTGTCTGGCCAAAAGTAATATGGTTTAGAAACAGGACAGAAAACATCTATGCATTGATTTCAGAAAAGCATAATAATCTGTAGCCACTAACCTGAACAAAAGAAGGATAGTAACAAAAAAGTAGAGCACAAAAAGGTCACAGGAAAAGGAATTTGACAAGAAGCTCAACTTTCGGATTTTTTCCTCCTCCAGTTCCAGGAAGGGATTCTTCAAGCTGTTCCCTAACATTCTGTAGCATCAGCAAACAAATTATATTGACATTTTTCCTATTTACAGAACATATTGGAAATATATCACAGATTTTCATATAATTTTGCCAAGGAGTCTGATAACACCTGCCAGATATCAACCGGTTTTAAGAGCCAAGATGTCCACCAATCCCAAGGTTTAAGGGGGCCAAGTGTATAGTGAATAACACAAAGTTCACTCTCATCTACCATCCACTGCAAAAATAATGCACAAAGGGATAAGGACACTTAACCACAAAATAAGAATATAATAAGCAAAAGCAGAAATTAGTTTCCTTTTTTGTTTTTGCATAAGTTTCACCATGGTATGGTTAAACAAAGAAAGTCCTGACAACCAAAGAAAAGAACCGAAAGGAATCCCTTCGAGATCTAAATACAACAGAATGTCCATAAAAGTATGTCATCATAATGCATAAAAAGAGGATTCGAATAAAGGGTTTAAAATCAATCATATTCATCATTCAGCATATTGTCAATCTCAACTGCTTGATTACAAGGCAAAGGTAGACAGAAAGCGAATAGCAACCTGCTTGATCATTCTCTTCATCATGATTGAAAATACAGTTTATTCTCTTCTATTAAATTTATTGTCTAATTGAACCAAACTTACCAAGCTTCTCTTCAAGCCCTGATCACACTTTAAAGACTGAACATAAATTATTTTTTCTATTCCTTAAACATTTTTAAAGGCACTATTTATTCTCATCTTTTTACTAATGAAACTACTCTTTATTCATTGCTAATTCTTGTAACATAGCCATGTAGCATGTGAAACAAGACTAATAACAGTACAGCAGCATGACATATAAAGTTTTAAAACAAAATGTTAAAGTCATTGTACATGGTAGTACCTTGTTGGCAAGCATGTAAAGACCAACATCTGCATTGTATAAAGTAGAGAGTTGCTCCATCTCAGGAACGGGTCAGGATTTCAACACCTCCTCGGGTAAATTAAGGAAAAAAACATGGGCATTTGGGAAATCAGAGTAATAAGAATTCAGAAACCCCTGATCTCCTCCAGTATAAGAAGGCAAAGTAGTCACTTTGCCCATCATGTCATTGAAAACTTCTTCAGATGGTTCCACTACCATGACTCCTGAATTCAGCCTCTCAGAATGCTTCAAATTGGCACAGAATTTCTCACATTTAAAGAGATCTTCAATGTTTTTGACTACTATAGTATCCGCATCAAAATATACAACTACACATGCAAATTCCAAGTGTGAAACAGTGCAATCCACCAGAAAGAACATAGGAATGAAAGGAATAATGGACTCAAAAAACTAGAATAGCTAAAGGTATTTTCTACTTTTGGATTTTACTCCAAAAAGCACAACGTTTCAAAATAGGATGTGAGCAATCTCTTATGCAATACATAGGTTGCAAAATTACAAGTCGCCACCTTAAGGAACAAACATTTAAAAGTTTCCATTAAAAACTTATTGGTTTTTTGTTTCAAGTACTTCTTTCGTTTAAAATTGCTCATTTATGAGATAGTTGCATGTTATCTATTGACAGTGGGTAGATCTTATAAACTGAAAGTACATCAAATATAAGCTAAAACCCAACTACATTCATCCTTTGCCGAACCCATACATTTTCTCTAACCAACAGAAATGAACCATCAAGAAACCAAAAAGGAATTTTACCTTACTTGTAGTTAGTCATAATAAAAATTTTCAATTTGGTATAAACACCCCAAAACCTCTTCGGCCTAACTTGATTCGGATTCGCCAATAAACTTATCTTCTCCACTATTCATCCATCAGCCTGCCCAATTATTGACCAAAGAAAAAAATAGTTAAAACAAATGTCAAAAATTAAAACATTACTTTTAATACCAACAAAAGTACTAATAAACTTGCCTAACACTTCCCAGCAAACTAATAGAGCATTAATTATAAAGCTCATAACTTTCCATAAATAGAATTTTTATAAAAAAAAATTGATTTTTAGTCGTTCTTTCAGAAAAACATGAAGTAATTAACTTTGAGGTTAGTAATTTTCTCAGGAAACAAACAGAAAAGTAAACGGATCGTCAAAATATACCTTAAGAAGTTTCTTGGCATAATCAGAGACGCCGTCGGAGACCAAAACAACCATGTTTTAGTTGATCCAGTGTCCCTTACGATTTCCCCAAAACCGTAACCCCCAAAGGAACTCACCTCCGTAAAGCAGCGTCACGTAAGCTTCTTTCGATGAAGATTGAGCTTTAGGCCCCAATACCGCCTTGGACTGGACCGTAATCAGAAGAACCAGAAACAGGGCCCAGAGTTTTGGGGATTTCATAGTATTCGATTTTCTAGAGAAAAGTTTTTATTTTTTTATTTTTCTTCTGGATTGAATTAGTGGGAATTTAAAAGTTGATGTACCTTGCGGGGTTTTGAGGAACGTGGAGGTTTTTCGTTTTGTTCATGTCAGCGGTGTCGTTTTGAGTTTGGACTCGTTTAAATTTATTTCATCTATTCTTTTTCTTCTATTATTTCATTTTTTCTTATTACCAATAAAACTCCCACAAGTGATGATTAATTTGAATGGATTATCAAAATTTGAGGGAGAAAAAAAAATTTTTTATATGAAAAGAGTCACAGTTTGAAAATAAAAAATTATATAGATTAAAATTTAAATCTCAAAAACTTGTTGAATGATATATTTGATTGCAAATTTCAAGTTAATTATAAAAAGAATAATTAAAAAAAAAAGTGATTAAGGAAAGGAGAATGTGGTAAATATGGTAGCTTCAAAGGAAGTTTCATCCAATGATTTTTGGGTTGGAGAGAGAAAAAAAAAATCAATCATCACTTCATCTCAAACTGGGAAAAATGGCAGGCCTTTTGAATAAGCATTGGATAACATGGTATATAAACAGAAGGTCAGAAGCCATATCTATCAGACAACCATGCATTCTTAATGACATGAACTACTCCAAAGAACAAAATGCTTAAACTCTGGAGTTCTATATGAATCTCCAACTTAAACTCCTAGCAACCTCTTCCCAATCTTATATGCAGCATAAGCATCAATCGTTGCACATTCAATCTGGTCTGTTGTGATATCTGCTTCCGCTAAATTAACCCAGGCCATTCTTGAAGATCTCGCCTTAAATGGAACCAACAGAACCTCAGATGCCAATCTTCTCACACCAAATGCACCCAGACGTGGTTGGTGAAGTACATCAGCAGCCAATTCACTAAGATCCACTGCATTTCTGATTTCCAGCCCCAAACGTTTTCTCAGCTTTTTAACATCATGTTTGATATGAACGCCAACATATGTTATGTCCTTGTTGTCAAAGAATTGTTTTAGGGAATGAGAAATACAACCCCCACAAATCCTTACTAGTGCACAACCAATCTGAGTGCAGAACGCGAGTAGCACATGATCTGGATAAGTTGGCATATAATCTGGATAAGATGGAGACCATGTTATGTCTAAACCAACAACCATGTCTTAATGCTTAACAATATGCTGTAAGATAAGATCATGGCAACGGTGCAGTCGTCTTGATTTTTCCGTAATCACTTCAGTCACCACCGTCGTACCATCCTCCATTACAAACTTAGGCCCCTGAAGTTGATCTACAGAATCCATTCTTCTAATGAAAGAGAAGTGGAACTAGAGAGAATATTCAGGTAAGGATCAAGTGTTCATAGAACTCTTGGAATAACTGAAGCAATGTTCCTCGACTATTTATATAGAGAATTTAAAACTTGGGAATTGGAAGTATTTCTGGAAAAGAAAAAATCAGCAGTGATCTCTTTTTGAAACTCTCTCAGGAATTGATTACAATTCTAGGAAGATTGACCGGTGTACCTTTGGCAGCGTTTGAAATTTGAATATTGTTGTTACAAGTGATTAATACACTTTATGACATGGATAGTCAAATAGACAACCATTGTTCTTGCTTCTCTTTAATTTCCAAGAATTTCCGTTCCCCAAGATCGTTATGACATGAATAATGCTCGGCAAAGCTGCATCTTCAATATGAATCAGTTCTTCCATGTCTTAAGGTTTGTTGGTTTATTGGTTAATACCACTGCAATAGCATAGCATGTACCCTTCATCTCAACCATGTCTTAAGGTTTATTAGTTAATGTCACTGCAATAACATAGCATCAGCCACCCTTCATCTCAAGCATAAATGGTTCCAAACAATAAAATTTATTGCAGTCTTTAAATCGCACGATAAAGATACAAGTGAACACACTGCAGAATAAACCGTTTAAAATGAAATAAATCCAAACATAAACTAAAAGTAAGCAGCAGACACACAAAGTCTTACAGATTTTGAACAATTACACACAGAATTTTTGTTATTTCAAGTACAAAATACATAGAATTTAACATTTTTTTTCTTCTTGCCATCTAGAACAGTGAGTTCCATCCTTTTCAGCATCGAGGTATCTCCTCTCTCAGTTGACAATATCACTGCAAAAGATTTGGTGTACTATCATGGAGCACATGGTATTGAGTTACGGAGTAGTAAATTTAATTTCATGGAGGACATCATAAATAAAGCAAGACCTTAAGTTTACCTGGTTTCTTATTTCTTTCAATCAGTTGTATTCTCCCAGCTTCCTGCAAAAATTGGCTCGTCCCAGCATATCAATAAAAATAAACATAAGTTTTTTGGTGCTGTAAAGAAAGTGTTAACTGAGAACATGATTGAGTGTGGAGAAAAAGAAAAGTTCAAAGTGTAAATTTTTCTGAACTTACTTTGCTCTACATCTCATCATATTGGATGTTCTGGCTAGAATAACATTTTTATTACTGCAAAGCATTTTTTTTAAAATAAAGATTCAAATTTATCACTCTGCACAAAGTAATATATCAAAATACAGAAAACATATCAAATATAATTTTTTTTTCCTACAATGCTACAATTGTTATTAATTGCACATCTTAATTTCATAAAAAAAATAAAAGTTAGATATTTTATAAAATATTTTTTACCCTTAATTTTGATCATTTTTAACCAAATTAAAAAGTACAGTGATAAAATTGCTTTTAAAAAGAGTGCTAAATTTATCACCCTTAAATTGTGATAAAATTAAACTTTACTCTTTTTCTTTTCTCAAGTTTGATAACTATATTATTAGAGAAGAATGGGCTTTCCTCACCAATGAGGCCATTTACAAATTGACAAGCTGCTTGAGCAGTTCTAATGTTATACCTCATCAGCCACCCCGAGTAATCGTAGAGTACCACAGGCAAGTTGGATGGTGGGTTTAAAGCTTGAACGACCTCCTGTTTCTTTACATGCGGAGAGCCGATCTAAATCTCCATTTGCTTGAGATGTATCTTCTTGTGAAGTTTGGCTCTCTTAGCCTCATTCCAATCTATTGCATCCCCTATCAACTCAACACAAATATTTCCACCAAGGTGGTCCAAGTTTTCTAGATCTCCAATACTGAATCGACGAGCATCATTACAATCTGCTCTCAGTTTGATATAACTTAATCTCACGAGAGAAGTTAAATTTCTAATCCCTTTTGGATAGTAAGTCAGACTAGGACAACCCTTAGTACAAAGATACCTCAAGTTAATCAATTTCCCGATTCCAACTGGCAGCTTCCCAAGACTATGGCAGTCTCTAAGATTCAAAGATTGTAGATTAGGCAATACACACACTGCTTCAGGCAAAGTATCTATTGTATGGCAAGATATTAAGCTAAGGTACCTCAAGTGAATCAAATTTCCTATGTCACGAGCAATTTCACATTTGTATAGATTAAACCACTTAAACTCCAATAATCTTAGATGCTTGGATCTACTAAACAATTTCTTTAAGGCTTCACTGCTAGTTTTTTTATTACGTGGATGAGAAACTGCTACAAGGCTTCGCAAATTTTCTGTGCCATAAATGGACAGAGGAGAAGAGCTGCTATTTTCAATCACCAACCTCAAATGACGAGTTTTTTTGGAAGATAAGTCCAATGTTAAATCTTCAACTATCTTCTCTGTGACAAATCCGTATTGGGTCAAAAACTGGACAAAGTCATGTACCATGTCATGCATCTTACAGCAAAGTATGTTACCGTTAGCATCTTTGTCAAAATCTTGGAAAAAAGAACGAAATGCTAAGCACTTGAAGTAATCTTCACCTTCTAATTCTGCCCCTAAATTGTCATCAGAGTTCAAATATCCTTGCGCCGTCCAGTTTTGGACCAATTCGTCTTTACCAATTTCATAACTCTTGGGACAGGTTGCACAATACAAAAAACTTCTTCTCATTGCTGAGGGCAAATCATAATAACTTAACAATAAAGGTGTATAATTATATTGTTGTGCAAAATCTAATTTCCATATCTCACTATTCAAAACATTTTCCCACTCATCTCTTCGTAATTTATCTTGCAGGAGACCTCCTAAAGTTTTTACAGTAAGTGGTAAACCTTTGCACTTCTTTGCAATTGCCCTTTCAATGTCCTCTAAATTTTGACGGCCAATCTGGTTCCTTCCAGTAAATGCCTTTTGATAATGTATCAACCAACATATCTCCTCAGACAAGAGATCTAAGTAAAAGACATGGGAGGATTCCAAGTGGTTTGCAACTGAATCCTTACGAGAAGTTACTAAAATCCTACTTCCCGACTTGTCAGATTGGAAAGCAGCTTTTAGTTGTTCCCAATCTTGTCCATGATCTGCCCACACATCATCCAGAACAAGAAAGAATTTCTTGTCTTTAATGTTTTCACGGATCTTTCTTAAAAGGGTTTGCAATGGAGTTGTATTTTGAAGGAATATTGTTGGATCAAGATCTTCAAGAATTGCTCTTACAATTTGGGCTTGATCAAAGGGGTCTGATACACACCCAAATTTTTTTGTTGAAATGGGTCTGAATTCTGTGGTCATTATATATCAGTTGGGCAAGAGCTGTTTTCCCTATTCCTCCCATCCCTACAATAGCGATGGAAGGAATGGAAATCCGTTGTTCTTCTTCACTAGTTCCACACAGCAACGTCCTTATTATGTCTTCTTTGACCCCATCTCGACCGTATAACTTTGACACATCCACAGAAGAAGTGCTTTCAGGCCGCCTTGGTAGCTGAATAATTTCTCTTTTTACCAATTCAAACTTATCTTTGTTTTAACAATCTGGTCAAGCTCTCCATTGATATCTTTTATTCTGGTGGCGATATCATGACGTCTAACGACTTTAGAGCCAAAGGAAAAGCATGAAACAAAGGGACGTGCCATCCACTTCGGAACAGAAGTAGTACTGGTTTCAACTCCATGATCTGCTTTTTGCAACTCCTCGACAGCAGTTTTCGAGTCGTCTAATACATCTTCCATGTCATAAGAAACTTGTTTGAACCTTTCTAACCAATGTTTCAGACTTCTGTCCACGTATTGTTTTTCCTCCGCATCTTCAATCTCGTACTGGATTGCTTTGAAATTGCTCTCAAGCCTTTTGACCTCTTTCTTAACACCTCTCACCAGCCTCCACGCTTCGCTTGCTTTGTCAATCGTGAGTGCAGTCAGCTGCTCCAAGATCGTGGAAACAATTGCCTCGGCCATATTTTCAGAAAGAGGGAAACGGTGGGTTCTTAGGTCTCTCTAGTTTCAACAACCCAGGTACCAACCGTTTCCCCTCTTTCCTAAAATATGGCCGAGGTTTTGTTTCCACGATCAATTTACCATGGTTTTAAATAACGCCTGCAACGCAATATAACGGCCGTTATTTAGTGATAATGTCGTTTATCGTTTTCGTTATTCATTTACGATGAAGAGTAATTAGTAATTACATTTATAATGATTGTTTATGATCGTAAATAATGATGTAACGAAAAAATACGATTATAACATATGTTAAAGTCATTATTTTTGTTTTTCTTTCATTAAATAAAATGAAAACACATATCAGAATAATAAAAACATTATGCTTCAAGTCTAAACTATTAAATTAAATTTAAACCTTAATCAAAATAATCAGAACAGAGACAGTGTAAAGATGAAACTCCAATAAAGAAATTAACTTTAAAACCGTCAAACCCATCTCATCAAGGTATGAGATACTTTGGTTTAGCAATTTAAAAACTGTATGATTTCATAAAACAATTGCAAATAGCTCTCAAATCAATCCATGAAAGGGAAAGAGTTGAAATTTTTAAAAGAAAAACAAAAATGAGGTTGGATAAAGTCGTGAGTGACTTTATTTTGAGATAAAAAGCAAAGTGAACAAAGAGAAAAAGACAATAAAAAGGTTGATGTCAAATAAAAATTGGTTTTTATTTTTTATTTTGGTCATCTCTTTTTTTTACTTTTTGGAAAATGGATATTTGAATTTTTTTTATGATTGGGATAAAAATTTAATAGAGTTGTTAGTTGTTAAATAATTAATTTAATTTTTAACTATCTAAAAAATAATTTTATAATAAAATTTAATATTATTAAGTATATTTATTATTAATTTTTTATACCTAATATTTTTAGATAAAAAATTTTAGAACAAAAGCAAATAATGATGGGAAATAAATTTTTAAGAATATTTTGCAGATTTTAGATGAAAATTTTGAAAGAAAATGATAGATGATATGTACAAGTGATTTTACATGTATCTTCCATAGAATTAGATTTTAATCCATTTACTTTAATAACTGTACTTAAAAATATTTAAATGTTTATTATTATTCTTTTTAATTAGATTAATTTATAATATTAATTTTATAATGATAATTTGTCATCAATCATATGTATTTATAACATTTATATTAACAAAATTCATGGATATATTAATGATCAACATTTTAGATATATATATTGATTTATGACTAAAAACTAAAAAATTTAAAATATTTATTATATACATTGCAGAATTAAACTATTATAAATTATTTTAAATATAATAAGCATGTTTATAATTATTATTTATTTCATTTTATGATAAATTGTTCAAAATTAAAAAAAAAAATTTACAATCGTGATAAGTGTAACTATCGTTATTTTATTCATTATTTTCGCAATCGTGATAAACCCGAAGCAAACGCAAAAGCAACTGTGATTTAAATTCCTGGGCAGCTGACTGCAATCACGATTGACAAAGCAAGTTAAGCGTGGGAGCTGGTGAGGGATGTTGAGAAATAAGTCAAAAGACTTGAAAGCAATTTTAAGGCAATGCAGTACGAGCTTGAAGATGTGGAGGAGAAACAATATGTAGACAAACGTCTGAAACATTGGTTAGAAAGGTTTAAACAAGACTCTTATGACATGGAAGATGTATTAGACGACTGGAAAATTGCTGCCCAGGAGTTGCAAACAGCAGATCAAGGAATTGAAACCAGTTCTACTTCTGTTCGGAAGCTCCTGATCAAAATAAATAAGAAGCCAGGTAAACTTAAGGACTTGCTTTATGAATTATGATGTCCTCCATGAAATAAACTTTCCTATTCCATATCTCAATACTCTTTGCTCCATGATAGTACACCATATATTTTGCAGGGATATTGTCGACAGAGTGAGCTGATACCTTGATGGTGAAAAAATGGAAACTACTGTTTTAGATGGCCAGAAGAAAAAAATTGTTAAATTCTATGTATTTTGTACTTGAAAAGTAAAATTAAAAATAAAAATAAAAAAACATTCTGTGTATAATTGTTCAAAATCTGTAAGACTTTGTGTGCTGCTGCTACTTTTGGTTATGTTTGGATTTGTTTCTTTTTAAATGGTTTATTCTGCAGTTTGTTCACTTATATCTTTATTGTGTGATTTAAGTAAAGTCTGTACTAAAATATTATTCAAGCCTACGCTGCAACATCTGGAAAGGTAGTTCTGGATGCATTCCCTTCATCTAGAAATCTGCTAGACAATGGCTGGAAAATAATATAAACAAGCTACATATTTATATTTGGCATCGATACCATTCGAGTCAGAAAGCAGCAGAGGTGAAGAAAACCAAAAGCACGAAATCCTGATGTTAGCAATACTGCAAAAACAATGAGTCAATCCTGATGCTAACAATACTTGTAATTCCTGAAAATGCAATGACACAATAAGAGCCAATCACAATGGTAGGCCAAACTCTTTAAGATATTCTATACTTTTCACTTGAGTGGTGAAGAAAAACAACAAGCACGACATATTTGAACCATGGTTTCCAATGTAGCTCCACTGTATCGTCATCGCAACACCTTTGCAAGCCAACATGGAAGACAAATCACACAACACCATAAATTAGCTCCACAAGTTCAATTGTCAACTATTTGGTCTATTGTAAATTTTCCACATAAGACATTTCTGTTGGACTTGGTTTCCTCTATGTGAAGATGGCCTAAAACCAAAGCCCATTCATCAAGGACTCTTTAGTCCTTTAATGCTTGATTATAGGGCTTTAAATCTTTGTATAGCTGAAAAAGAAACAAAAAGAGTGGTGTGGCAGCAATAGACAAAAAAAAGAGAGAAAATGAGATTTTGTGTAGTTTCAGTTAAATAGTTTGATTGAGGTCAATCTATTATCCGATTGAACTAAAATTTTATCAGTATATTCACGACTAATTATTCTTCAATCTTAACAGTAGAGATCGAATTTTGAGTTTTCTACCTACTGATTTTATTGGCATTTGTGAATCTTTAAATTTGTTGAGACTTCTTTAATTTTCTCTTGCAAGATTGTTTGATCTTGAGATATTATGGTTGTATACCTCTAGTTCTAATTAGAGAGAACTTTATATTTCATTATTTGATAGTAAAAATTATTTGTTACTGTCCGTAGTTTTTACTCCACGTGTTGGGGAGGTTTTCTTTCCATGTAAATTGCTTGTGTCTTTGTGCTTGTGGTTTGATGATTCATTTGTTACTTTAATTCCTGCTAGATTCACTTAAGAGAGAGATAATTTAATTTTTTCAACGTGTGATATATTCTATTTGAATATTGTTTAAGGTTATCTTATCCCATCAAAGTGGTATAAGAGCTCAGGCTATTTAATTTGCGCCTTGAGTTGAATAATGAAAACTAATACAAGTAGAATGATTAATTTGAATGGTTCAAATTACCATATCTGAAAATGAAATATGAAAGATTTACTTTATATGAAGGATTATTATTTACTTGTGTCTGCCACTAAAAAGCCTGAAAATAAAATAGATGGAATTTGTTTCATCGACAGTATGTGGTTACATTAGACAGCAGGTAGATGATAATGTTTTGAACTATGTTAGTGGAGAAACATATACACGTATTTTTTGAAGCAAACTTAAGGACTTATATGCTTAAAAAATTAGAAATAATAAATTATTTTTAATTAAACAATTGATGAGTTTGAAATATCATGATAGAACTCTTATGACAGATCACTTGAATACATATCAAGGTATTATTAATTAGTTGACTGACATGAATCTCAAGTTTAAAGATGAGATATAGGGCTTATGGCTTCCTAGTACATTACCAAACTCATGAGAGATATTTAGAACAACGTTATCTAACTCAGCCCAAATTATATTATTACTATGGATTTGGTTAAGAGTAGTATTTTGAATGAAGAAATGAGAAGAAAATCACAGGATTTCTCTTCATAGTCTGAGATTTTAGTCACAAAAAATAAGAGAAGGAATAAAAGTAAAGGTTCGAAGAACAAAGACAGAAACAAGAGTAAGTCCAACATATTTGCCAATATTGAATGTCATTATTATGGTCTGAAAGGGCATATAAGAAAATATTGTCAAAAGTTGAAAAGAGACAATAATAGTGACAAGGATAAAAAAAAAAAAAAAGAATGGTGATGGTAATGATGCTGATAAAATTGTTACTATCACGGATGACTTCTTTATTTTATATGATGATGATGTTGTTAATCTTGCACCCATAAAACTAGTTGGGTGATTGATATTGGTGCCATAATTCATACTATTTCTCGAAAGAATTACTTTGCATCTTACACATTTGGTGATTTTAAGAGTGTTAGAATGAGTAATAATGGCTCAACAAAAGCCATTGGTATGGGAGATGTGTTCTTGGAGACCAATAATGGCACTACATTGGTCTTGTAAAATATTAAATATATTTTCGATATTTGCATGAATTTTATTTTTGCAAAAAAGCTTGATGATGAAGAGTTTTGCAACACCTTTTGTATTGGTCAATGAAAGTTCACTAAAGGTTCTATGATTTTCACTAGGGGTCCAAAGTGCTCCTTATTGTATTTGATGCAAGCTAAGGTATTTGATTCCATTATTAATACAATAGATCATGATAATACAATTAAGTTTTGGCATAAGCGATTTAGTCACATGAACGAAAAGGGCTTAAAGATTTTGGTCAAGAAAAATTTTTTTTCTGGGGTGAAGAATGTATCCTTGAAAAAGTGTAATCATTGCTTGACAGAAAAATAAACTAGAGTTGTATTCAAGACATCCCTCCATAAAAAAAGTCAGGTATACTTGATTTAGTATATTGATGTTTATAGTCCTATAAGAACAAAAACACTTGGTGGTTTCATCTATTTTGTGACTTTTATAAATGATCAATTAGGAAAAATATGGGCTTATACCTTGAAATCAAAAGACAAAGTGTTAGATATGTC